GACCTAGTTATGAGAAATCGAGCTAGTAATAACAAAGTAAGCTAACTAATATCCCGCTTTATTCCCCAAACGAGATATAAAATGACATAGACAAAGCCAACATCAAATAAAAGAACAAAGAACATATTCAAGAGACTCTCTATTATTAAAGAGCGTATTTTGTAATTTAAAAAATATTTATAAATTTAGAGAGTAAAAATTTTGAAGTATTTCAACGAGCTCTTTATATTTAACATTTAATTTTACTACTCCCAAAAAAATATTTATTGCTTTTTCCTGTCTTTAATTTTCACTAACTTCCCTTCAAATTATTGTTTTATTTTTCATTAAAAATTAAAATATTGAATGCATTTAATTATAAAGAGTGGGTTTGACTCTCTAAATTCGGAGTTTAGAGAATCAAACTCACTATTTATTTTTAAATATTAATTTAAAGAATCTCTTGAAACATAATTTTATACACTTCAACAAACTCTCTATTTTGACTTTTCATTTTGATTTTCTCAAGAAACATTTATTATTTTTTTCTTTTATTTTATTTAACATAATTTTTTATATGTCAATTGATCAATCAATTTAAATGTGATTTAAATAGTTTAAGAAGTAGAGTATCGAAATATGTAATTTATGAAATGTAATCATTGTACATTAAAATTAGAGAGTGAGTTTGATTCGCTAAATTGGAGAGTCAAATCCATCTCTATTTTAAAAAGTTAAAATAGAGAATTTCTTGAAACTTATTTTTAAATATTGACTCTCTAAAATAAAAAGCATTTTTTATTTAAAAAATCTCTAGAAAATGCTCTAGATGTCAGCATTGGTTGCTGACTTTGATATAGAATTTCAACATCTTAGGATCGCATAGGTCCTAACTTGCCTCGCACTGTTGCCACCACTGAGCTAGAGTGATCTTGAACGATGGCCTGTAGTTTATGAAATCTTCCTGAGCCCGCACATTGACATCAATGTTCAACTTCAACCGACCTACACTTGGTTCGCTCTATGTTGCACTAGCCTACGGAGCCTCCACCTTCCATTGTTCAGCCGCAGAAAAGCATGAAAGTAAAATGGGAAAATTGTAGTCGCGGTCCCAAATCTTTTCGTTTTTTGCGGACTTTACCTTAACCCTCACTTTGTGCCACTCCACTCCCACCCTTCCCCAACACCAAAATCCTGCCACCCGCTGTCAATGTGGCTACCGCAAACACCACCACCTTGGCCACCATCTCAAACAAAAATTTTCAACACCATTGCCCCAACAATTTTCTTCTAATTGCTAGAAACAAACAACATTTTTCAAGCCAAAACGGTGGAATGAACCAAGCAACAGGAAGCACTTCCTGGGCA